AGAAGTGCTTTCACAGGATCTCCTTGTCTACCATAACTTGCATGCCCTTTAATAATACCTAATGCCAGTTCTGGGGTAATTACATTAATGAATTCCATCAAAAACAGTTACAGGACTGGCATTGCAATTATGAGACCCTGACTCATTTGTTGTGTGTACAAAACAGAGGCATGCTTCTTTTTTTTTTTTTCCCATTCATATGCAAAAATTCCTGTTGCTTTATTTTCTTACAGAATAGCTTGAAGTTGTAGCTTATGTGGTTAAGTAGCAAAATGTGGGGATAATATTTCCTTTTTGTCATATGAAATAACTCTCTCTATAATATAGGAGAAATAAAGTTTTACCAACCATTTCAGATGGATTTGAGGAAATTTTTCATAGGATTTTACTAAATAAGTAAGATAAAGTGTTTGAATAGCTGTGTGGATATTGATAAATATCAGAAGTTAACTACTACTTGCATTTCATAAAGAGAAGGAAATAGAACTCTCTAATTGTAAGTTAAAGCACGAATGGAAATTAACGTAGATAAGTAAAAGTCAACACAAAGTAATAATACCAGACATCCTAAATTTGCTCATGCTATTTCATTCTTATGAATTGAGAAAATAACTTTCACCTAGGATGTGTTCACATTATTTTCCCCACTTTCTCTTTAAGGAAATATGTCTGTGTTCTCTGACTAAAAACAATAGAGGACATAGGTGTAATAGGGCTACTTTTGGTTGTGTCATTCCCAGACAGGGAGCTAATTATGGTAGAAAGCAGCCTTGGGTTAATTAACTAAACTTATTTCTTCTTTCTCTTGTAACCCAGGTAGAAGTTACAGGGACGCTTGACTTATGGTATGGATTTTTTAGAAAAACAAAAGAATCTGTAGATTCTAGAAGAGGCGGAGAATGCTGTTTTCACATTTTGCTGCCCTAGAAATATCTTTTAGTGAACAATGTTTTTTCAATAGATGCATTTTGATCTGAGCTCATTTTTGCTTTAAGATTTTAAATCACTTTTTGTGTCTTTTGTCTTTAGTCTTTATTTTCATTTTAGTGACATCTTAAGATTAAGCCCTGTCTGATTTCCACAAGGCCAACTTCATCAGTAGCCTGTCCCCTCCCCTTTGGCTGGTGGACCGGACACCTGTATTGTGCTTTGGAATCCAGTTCTTGAAATTTAGTTTTAGCCACAGTTATTATTTCTTCTGGTCTGTTTTCCTTATAAGTATTTTTTTTTTAATCTGTCATGTATAGAATTAGAAGCTAAAGCATTTATATTATACTATCATTGGGTATATAAGTATTACTGATTCCTTCACCCCTTTTAAGTTTTTCCCCCAAATTCTCAGAGGGGCCTACCTTGAGGACCGTATGTCAAATGCAGCCCACTGTCTCCACCCTCCCATAATGTGCCTCACCTCTCTCTCCTTTTTCCCTGTAATCCTTAACCATATTTGAACATACTATACAATATTATGTCTCTTGTCTGTCTCTTCTGTTCACAGAGCTTCACAAGGGCAGAGATCTTGAGTTTGTTTTACTCATTTGTGCCAAGTGCCTAGAACAGGACTTGGGCAAATAGAAATATATTTATATAGATATATAGGTTTATATAGATGAAATGCATAGTGTACATTGATATTTCCTATTTCATTTTTTAAAATGTTTATTTTTGAGGGGTGCCTGGGTGGCTCAGTCGGTCGGTTAAGCGTCCGACTTTGGCTCAGGTCATGATCTCGTGGTTTGTGGGTTTGAGTCCCACGTCAGGCTCTGTACTGACAAGCTCAGAGCCTGGAGCCTGCTTCACATTCTGTCTGTCTGTCTGTCTGTCTTTCTCTCTCTGCTCCTTCCCCGCTCACGCTCTGTCTCTTTCACAAATAAATAAACATTAAAAAAATTAAAATGTTTATTTTTGAGAGAGAGAGGGAGAGAGAGAATGCATACGTGCGTGAGTTGGGAAGGGGCAGAGAGAGAGGGAGACACAGAATCCGAAGCAGGCTCCAGGCTGTGAGCTGTCAGCACAGAGCCTGATGCGGCTCTTGCACTCATGACTGTGAAATCATGACCTGAGCCCAAATCGGAGGCTCAACTGACTGAGCCACCCAGGTGCCTCTCATTTTTAAAAATAAATACTGTTTGCAGTATTCCTGGTTCACTAAAACTGCAGACTACCATTTGCATTGTGCAATAGATAAACCTAAAAAAAATCTTAGGGTTTTCTTTTTGTCTTATGTGACTGTTTGGAAATCTCTTATTTTCAGATTGGTCTTTCAGGGCACCGGCAACATTATTTTTCAAGTTTCTGTATCCATTCGCTGCTATTAGGAGATACTGTTTGTATGGATCAATTATTTGGATAAAATAATTTTGGATAAAGCTATGGATACATGATTTAGTAAACATGAGCTTAATTGGTAATGCATGCACTTTCTTTAAACTGTGTTTTGAGTCCATTTCTCTTTAAAGGAGGAAGGGCTCTTTTGCCGTACATGGGAGCAAGTAGTGGTTGGGAGACAGCAGTGGAGCTGCAGTGGAGTTCAGGGCAACCATAACATTTATTTTGAGATCCGAATAAAACCCTGGACCAAGTGGATTGGGAACAGATTGTTAGAAATCTGAATTCCTTTCTCCCCCAGCTGTGATAAGACTTAACAAGCCAGGATTTATGCATATATTCAGTTAACGAGAATGTGACAGATATCCTCCCGTGAAAAATGTAATGCTGAGGCTCCTTAAACAGTTGGTCGGTTACCCTTGTAACCATGTAATATTTTATACTAAAACCAGAAGACCTAGGAAATAACTTTGTTTGACATAAAAAAAAATGATGATTCTCTAGTTTTAAAGTTTGTGTATTTTGAGAAAGCTTAATGTCAGCAAAGCAGCTGCTGTTTGAATTTACTTTGTAAAACACTGAATTATTCATTTCCATAAACAAAACTTCCTTAGTAATTATTTAGCATTAATTTATTTCTCTTTATTTCAATCAACCCTGTTGACATTCTATTTTAAAATTAAAAATATTCTTTGTGGAATCTAACAAACAGGACTTCGTGACAGCTACTTTCTCTACTTTTTTCTCATGACGGAAAATTTCCAAATCCTTTTTTTATTTTTATACTTTAAATATTTTATATTTTACTTTTATTATCTCAATGAAAGTTACTAGTAAATATAGAACAAAGGTAAAATTCTTATTTGGCAGCATCTTTTAAATAGCTTAAGACCAACCTCCATGTTGTTGACCTGTTAGATTTTGCCATAATGCTTTTTGCATGAGTATAATTAATCACTCTTACATTGGATTCTGGGAATGTAAAAATTATCAGATGTATTTTAATGAATTTTTCATTTTATCCTTTGTACTCACAGATTGCTTAATAGACTACTTTTGGGGGGGGAATAGAGATTGCTGTTTTACATTTCTTGGAATTCTACTATCTTCACGATAGTTGGAGTAGTCCTTTAAATTTTGTGCTGCCTTGAGATGAGTCCTTTCACTACCTTCGAACTGGTATTAGTAGCCATTGCGCATGCCCTCTTTAGCCAGTTAGTCTGTTACCGTCATGTGATATTTGTGGTCGTTTGTTTCGTAATTGCGGTTTTGTTTTGTATTGTTTAACATTTTAAGTGTGTCATTGCTTTGCGGAGCCACTGGACATTTTTGAAGGCAGCAAACTTTGTTAGTTTACCGAGTGTCTGGTAATTTAGTATGCCAGCAAAAGAAACCCCTTTATTTTATAAAGTAGCATCCATCAAAGGGAACACTCTTATCTCAAGTGCTTCTTGGAGCATTAATTTAGAGAGAAGGCTTAGCCTGAAGGAACTGTAAACTGTCAGTTAAGGGCCCATTTTGATTCCTTGTAGTTGGTTCCTGAAGGGAAGCAAACGTGCTAAGTCTCTCATGACCAAGATGGCTTTTCATGACACCGTGGAAAGGATGAGGCCTGGAGAGTTAGAGACTGGGGAGTCTGCCTTTAAGTCCTCGCCTCTAGGGCTGCAGTTATTTAGAATAATTATGAAACAACGGCTGTAGTAGTTATTGGGTGATAGTAGTTTTTGAAGGGATAACCTCATGTGCATAATTATTCTAGTGAAGTGTTCAAGAAAGCCTTTCAAGTCTATGACACAGACCATCAGCTTTCAACCAGGAGCCATTGTGCAGACATATTTTGTTTTTCCTCTGTGCAGTGTCTTTGAAAACAAAGTTAGCTAAACTATTGAAAATTACAGCATTTTACATAAAACAAAAATTCCAGCCTAAAAAAAGGTATAAATCCTCAGATCTGGTAATGATGTTTCCTTTCCTGCAAGGAAGATAGTTCTACTGTATCTTTAAACAGGGGGGCATGTGCATTGGTTCATTATAGTCTTTCTGCTTGTACTGTTACTTTCTCTCTCTCTTTCCCTTTCTCTTTCTCCCTCTGTCTCTGTCTCTGTCTCTCTCTCTATATATATAATGTTTACCAATATTTGTGTGTGTGTGTATATGTATATATGTATATACACACACACACACATATATATGTATATGTATATATGTCTACGGCCATACCACCCTGAACGCACCTGATCTCGTCTGTATATGTATATATGTATACACACACACACACACACACACACACATATATTCTTTGTATATATACATAATAAATATTTCTCTAAAAATGTGTTTCGGTCATAAGAAAATCAAACTGAAATGTCTGTGTGGTTCAACAAAAATAGAACCGAGTCTTTCATGAAAACAAAGAATATCCTTTTGTGTATAACATGCAAATGGCCCAGCTTCCAAGTTGCATCCATGCATGCAAGTTGTACAGGCAGCCCAGCATCAGATTCTGTTTCTTCGGAGAGATTCCTATCTTAACATAAAATCTAAATTTTAATGCCCTTAGCCATGGTCTGTAACTTCTGTGGCTGTTTCACATAGGGTATGAATTTTGGAAGTTTTTATTTCCAGACTAATTTGCATAACTTTTGGTTCTTCATGTTCTTTTCTATGAATAGATATATCTAAGACACCTGAAAAGGTACATCTAAGGTAGGTAACATCTATGAGTTATTTAGTAGTAGTAATAACCCATTTTGTGAGGTTTGAGAATAATGTATGTGAAATATATTTTTTACATAAATATATCTTCATATATAAAGTATTTTATAAAAGTATTTTATATGTGACATGTACATAGTATATATTAAATATCTAATGCACAATGGCACACACTAAGTATTCTCTAAATTGTAGTAGTTTCAATTCTAACAGTACATTAACTGTGATTTTGCTTTGCTTCAGTGTATTTGAAATTTGAAAATTTTCTGTCATTTTCCTCTGAGTTACTGAGTTTGCTAACAAGCAAAACAATACTTTGTATTCAGTTACTCCAACAAATAATTTGACTTTACTCTTCTCCATCTTAAATTTGAAGTGACATTAAGGAAGAAAGAGGAGGAAAACCTATTATTCTCTTCAGGAGTAAGAGTTACAAATATGTAAGCATTTGGTTCTGTTAGGATTCACTAATTTTTACCCTGTCTAGCAAGAATGGGTCAGTATGTCTTTTTTCTGGAAAAGTCATGTTTGGTTGTTTTTAGGTAGGTGCATGTTTTTTGCAGATCACAGTGGCAGAAAGAGTTTGATTTTAGAAGAACTGTGTCTGCCCATCTTACAAATATCTGTACCTGAAATAAGACTCTTTCTTCTCTCAGAGTGATCAGTCTTTAGTAAAAACATGTTCCTAACTACTTGAGCTGATAAATAGTGAGGTTTGTTTTAAAGAAGTCAAGTTTACTTTATGTCAATTTTCTATTTGCCCTGTGTAAGATATATTTAATTACTTTATTCCATCTCTGTGTTCAAATTAATCAGATTCTGCTACATATCGGTGCTCAAATTAGAATAATTCTTTAATCAACTGGTTATCCATGCCATGGTAGACTAGAATAGAAAAGCTACTCTTGGCATATTGAAGATGCGTGCATTTTATTTTCTATTGTAATTTAAAAGTAAAATCAGAAATATTGATTTCTACTTGACTGGAGAGATGATTTAGTTTGAATATCAGTCTGATCTTAATCAGGTGAGAATTAATTGAGTTGGAGGTATTAGATATTCAGTGATGTTAACTGAACCATGATCAATCTAGAGAGAAGCTTTCTTTTGTACTATGTTAGAATTATCAAATAGCTCATGCACTACGATGTGAAATAATCTTTTCATGTTCATCATCCTACCTTCTTGTCTCATTAAATGCACCACTAAATTCATTCTGTACACAAACTAATTTTTAAAGTAGCAAGCTAATAATCACAATTTAATAGAAAATTAAAAGCATAATAATTTTGTCATAAAACGCTATTGTTGTCAGAATTTTATCCTGTTCTGTTTTCTGGTGCCTAAGGTTAAAGCCAAGCAATTAAACTTCTGCTTTCCAAGTGTACCAGGGACCTAAAACAGAACAAAACAAAACAAAAACCTTAGTTTTACTTTTTTTTAATGTTCAACATTGCAAGAATAAAGTGAGCAATACAGAATTATTTTAATGTATATTTCTATAAATAAAATTGGAATCTGTAGCATTACATTGGTCTGAAATGTGGCATGGGCTTTTCATTTATTTTAAGAGTGTGATAACAATATCATAAGTGTTGTGAAAATATAAATGGTGAGATAACACCTCCATAGGACTTACTCTTAAGTAGTAACATTGTAAAGTCTTTAAATAAACTGCAGCCAGAACTGAAAGGATCGATTTGCCTTGTTGACTAGGGATACTATACTTCTTAAATATCTAATTAAATTTAGCATAATACGTCTTTTATTCTCTTTTTTTTTCTTAAAACTGAGAATTTGGACCTATTTAGGAGTAAGGTAGCACGTGTTATTGTCAGATTTCTTTCGTTTTGGCAGTTTTTGTGACTGTGTCAAATTACAGGAAAGCCAATAGTGTGACTTTTGATAGTGTCATTTTACCTTGGAATGGTGCTTTTCGTTTGGCATCGGTATAATGGGAACAGGAGGATCTATGTAGCTATTTGGTGAAAAGGAATGTCCAAATTTGTATTTGAGAACAACTCACATTTAATGAAATTAAGGCCTATGTGCAGAAATATCCCCAGAGTGTGAGGAACGGATGTTCTCAGTGATACACGGAAGGGTCGCCGCTAAGTGGTTGCTGAGCAGAGTTCAGGGAAAAGCACTTGCTTCAGAAGGGAGTTGCACGAATTGTAGTTTTTCATGCTGCTCAGCAAAGCTGCTCATCAAAGCCGAAGCTGGACTCCACTCCTCCACCCAAAGCTATTGCTTGCTTGCTTGCTTTTTTAAAATTACATTTTGGAAGGTTGACCCATGTGTAGACTACCCAAACACAGTACAGATGTGTTTCTTTACTTCTTGGCCCCCCGATCCCCGCTTTTCTTCCTCTGAAGCAACCACGATGACCAGTTTCTTACTTGCTATTCCACAGCCATTTTGTGTCTGTGTAAACGTCTGTCTATATAGATACATACACATGCGCACGTACACAAATGTGTGTGGATTCTAAACAGAAATGGTCACACGGTCTACCGTGTGGTGCTGCACCTTAGCTGTTTTTCATTTTGAGTTCTAGAGATCATTCCCTATCAGTGTACTTTCTTTTAGTGGCTGCATAGTACTTCACAGAACAGTGTTTCTGCTTTGGTTGTTGATGTGACTGTATTCGAGGAAAAGAAAGCTGATAAGTGGCTTTCATTGGTGTCAAAGGCTATTTTTTGCTTGGGTAAAAATATTTTTGGCTTTAGCTAAGAGAAGACCAGAGTGGCGAATGGCTAGTGATGTGTCATGCTTGTAATGACTCCCCACAAAGGATTTTTGTTATATATTTATATACATACTTACTTTTGTTAAGACATAGCCATAGTTATTTTCATATTTGAATTGCCTACTGTGTTAGAATTTGAAAAACCTACTGTCCTTACAGATGTTGTTTTATAAGGGAGGCGCCGAGCTCTTTTAGGTCCTTTTGGGAGCAAAGCAAGGTGTTAAAAACATGAATAAATTTGACAAACCAGAAGATTATGAGGAGCGTGTCCACGTTTTGTCAGTAATCTGGAAGTGATGTCCAATAAGGAGGAGGGAACAGCTTTCACACTGGCTCTGAACCAGGACAAGGGAACAACAGGGATGTTATTTCCTGTAGTATTTGATGAGGAAGCGGCATTAGATTTACTGGTTTTTCCCTCAGGCTATAAATCCTTCCCCCAACACGCCACACACCTGCAACACGCATGCAACACGCACACGCGCAGGAGCTGGCTACCTTGGGAGATAAGGACTTTTTTGTCACAGTGTTTAAACAGAGAGATGGATTAACAAGGATCTTCTGCATCGAGTAAGAGTTCAGATTAAGTGGGGCGCCTGGGTGGCGCAGTCGGTTGAGCGTCCGACTTCAGCCAGGTCACGATCTCGCGGTCTGTGAGTTCGAGCCCCGCGTTGGGCTCTGGGCTGATGGCTCAGAGCCTGGAGCCTGTTTCCGATTCTGTGTCTCCCTCTCTCTCTGCCCCTCGCCCGTTCATGCTCTGTCTCTCTCTGTCCCAAAAATAAATAAACGTTGAAAAAAAAAAATTTAAAAAAAAGAGTTCAGATTAAGTGGCCCGTGAAGTCCTCCCCACTCTGACCGTTTCAGTCCCAGAAGTTTGGAACAAGGCAGCTCATCCTTCCGTGGACCCTCCATGAATTGTGGTAAATGGCCACTGGTGGCTCATATTCCTCCCCCCAGAGGAGGCTGTAAAACCTCTAGCAAAAATGAAAAAGCACGGGAGGTTAGTCTGTTGCCTGTATAGCTTGCGTTATTAAAAGCATTTGATCCTACTTTTGTGTGGTCCTGCTTCTCCTTAGGGGAGGGAGAGGGCAGAGCGTCCACCAGGAGATGGCAAGGGAGCCTAGAAGGACCCGTGATCAGAGGCGGGCCGCTTGGTTAGCCGCTTTGACCAGTGCCTGTTAATGATGGGTCTTTTAAGGTTGGAGGCTGTGAGGGAGCAAAGAGGAAACGTGTAACAAAAATGTATGGTACGAACCAAGCTCATTTGCCTCTCTTTCTCTTGCTTTGTCACCTAAAGCCTCCACCTCTGCTGTTATTCACGATGGTGGATTCTGCGATCTGGGGAGACTTAAAGCACCTCTTACATGCAGTCTTTTTACAAAGGTGGGGTGGTTTGATGCTTTCCTCAGCAACACTAGGCTATGCTGATGTCTACCTTTCAAATTCTGGTAGCACTTAAACTCTGAAACACCGAATTTAGCATTTCATGAGGTTCCCTTCGGAGAAGCCACTTTCTAACGTGCAAAATCCTCATTTTAAATATTTATATTTTATAGGAATTCTAGAAAACGGGTGGGGCCAGAGAGCGAGGAAGGTATCTGATGTTACCTTATTTCAGGTGATTGCTAAGTAGCATAAAACCAAGCAGCAAGCTGCACTGTATTTTTTCGTGTGGTGATGATAGGGTGTGCTGAGCCACCCGTCACCCAGGTCTCAGTTGTGACCTCATGTGAGCTGACTGGCTTGGGTTTAGTCTGTTTTGTGACCATGGAAATTTCAGCCAGGTGTGGAGATGTGTCCTGTGTTCTTACCATGGAAGGAGTAAGTGGGATTTGACAGTAGTTACGGGTATTCTTCCGGAATTAGTAAAGGCCTGGTCCAAGCTCTGTGCCAACCTCTATGATCTTGGAAATGTGACATCAACCTAAAGGTCAGTTTCCTCATCTGGTAAATGAACATAAGAATAGTTCAAGTGACCTAATATTTCAAGTGAGCTAACAAATGTGCTTGGCATAGCTTCTGGTACGTAATAAATAACCAGTGTATTTTAGTTGCCATTATCATTTTATTCTTATTGCTGTTATTAACACCTTTAAATACTTTGGAAAAAATTAGGAAGGTACATGGGAAAATGGGAAAACAAAACAAATGACTTCCTGAAATCAGTTTCTTCTAGTGGAGAAATGAGTTAAGAACCATTTTACGTATCTATTTATTTATTACTTACTTATTTTTTTACAGCTTTATACATAATTTATTTTTTAATTTTAATTTAAACAATTTTAATTCCGGTGTAGACAACACATGGTGTTCTATTGATGTCAGGGGTACAATACAGTGAAGCAACAGTTCTGTACATTGCTCAGTGCTTGTCAAGATAAGTGTACTCTTAATGCCCTTCACTC